ATCTTCTGGCATAGATTAGTCAGTTCAAAAATTGTGATAACACGTAAAAAAGTTTACTAAGAATGTTATGGTAAATAGAATAAGACTGATATTACTTTACTTTATGAGTGAGATATTTAATATTAAAGAAAATAAAGTCTTCAATTTAAATATAAAAAAAGAGTCAAAGCTTAAAGGGCAACATTTCTAGAAGTTTACGAATAAATAGTGTTGGTTAATATTTCATATAGTAAGCTGTGCAGATCTAAAATGATGTAACTTTTAATTTCAGTTTCTTTTTATTACAAATTAATAGAAGATATTTTTTCTTGGATCTGTTTGGTTTTTTATAGATACCGGATCGAGATTCGACTAGTCTACTATCTACTGATAAACAGACTTTCCATAAAAGTAATAGTAAAGTTTAAGAATTTTTATAGGAGAACGAAAGTGAACTTTGGTTTTGCTTTATTTAGTAATTTTTCTTGACACTCACAACTCTCTACAAGAAAGAGGGTGTTAGCAAAGTCAGTTGATGATACAGTCGGCAGGTTCTTTATATACCTAGTTGTTTGTTCGAATTTATAGCAAAAAAAAACGTTGACGATTAAAATTGGTTTGGTTTTATATTTTTGCGGTTCGAAAACTCATTGGCCTATGATTAATGTAAATGTTTTCATAGTAAAAAGTTGCTTCACTTATTTCTTTCATAATTATAAATATAAATAAATAAATTTATATTTAACAATGACAAAATGTGCATTCATATAAAGGAGCTAAAGCAAAGAATTAGGAAAACGACTTGCTTCCACAAACTCTTATCGATAATTAGTTCTATCGATTGTGTTCGATATATGCTTCCTAGCTCACGAACAACTATCGGTTCGGTTCTTTCGTGTTGACTTTTGAGCTAACTCTCAGTTTTAGCGACGGATGTTGCACTTTCAGCGAAATCGAATGCGCAGTGCGCAAAGAATTAAGACGCTGCTCATCAGCCAGCAGCAGCAGCTGCGTCGATTGCAACAATTACAACGAACACAAAATACGCACACACATCGCTAATACGCAGCGTTGACAGCGCAAAGCGCCAAATGTTCGCGTTCAAGTTGAAGGAAAAGGAGACAATGACAAACACTTGCGACTGTCGATTTGTCCGCCTCTGTGTGCGTACGTGTGTCCGTGTGTGTGTGTATGTGTGTGAAAATGCTGTTGTGTGTATTTATCTTTCACTTAAAGCGAAGATGACATTCTTTAAATGAAATTAACTGCTAGCAGCAAAAGCAACAACAACAATAACTGTTGCTGCTGCTGCTGCTGCCGCTGCTACTGCTACTGCAAATGTTGCTGCTGCTTTGGCTGCAATTAGTATTTGTCTTTGCTAATACGCTGCCATGTTGGTATGCATCCCCCGTTTTGTTGTTGTTGTTGTTGTTGCGCTTGTTGTTGACCAGTTGCTGTTGTTGTGGTCGCTTTTTATGTCACGCATAAAAAGTGTCGCACACTTGAATGAATCTTTTGACTATAGTTTTGCTTGTCACTTAGTCGTCGTCGTTGTGGTTGTTTGTATGTTTATTGGTCTGTTTGTTTGCTTGTTGGTTTGTTTTTTATTCAAGCATTTACAGCCCGCCTCATTGGCTTAAGCGTTCACTTAACAGCAGCCGTCACTTTGCATGCATCCCGCGGATTCAATTGGTTTTTGGGTTGGGCCATTGCCTGGCTCCGCTGCACTTTGCAGCGCTCAAAGATGAAGTTGCAGATAGTTTGAAGTATCGAAAGTACATTAAACACATATGAAAACATGGCCCATACCCAACACTGGCAAACCAAATACCCCACACGTAGCCACACACATAACATATTTAAGTCGATCTACCGCACTGATAAATCGCTTTTGCATCCGATTCACGATCCTAAGCGAAAATGGGATACAATATATTTTCACTGAGTGAAAAGCTAACTCTACTTGCAAAGATTACCAAACATGTTTATTGATATTAATATTATACCTCATTCCAAAATGTCTACTTTAAGGTTCAGATAACACCCAGTGAAGAAAAGTATTCCCCTTAGTTATTTCATATTGGACAAGCATTAATATACAACATCCCCCAAAATATTTTTAGATAAATCTTTAAAACTCTATGCAAAGCAAATTTAATTATTTTAGCTCTAAACCTGAGGAAGATTTCGACAGGCGTAAACACATATTTTAAACACTTTACCGTACCTTTGTTTTAATTCCCCGACAGATATTTTCAAAACTAATGAAATCTTTTCACTTTGCGAACGTATATACTTGGATGCAGGTTACAAATTAACGAAAATAAATATAATTCATTTGTCTTTTTATATAAACTTGATGGAATTTGAAGCTAAAAAATGGATTAGCTGGTTTACTTGATACAATTTAAATACCAAAATTAATACAAATAAAAATAAAAATAGTAGCAATAATAATAATAATTGGCTTATGCTGCAAAGATTTTTTAAAAAAGGTTTATCATCAGTTATAGGATCTTATATGTATGCCCAATACATAGAAAATACAATAGAAAAATCGACACAAAGTTAACTAAAGCAAGAGTTGAGCTTCTTTACATTATCAATGTATAATTTCTTGCAATATCTCACAAATAATATTAAACATTTTCTGCTTTGCCTGGTAAGAATTATGCCTTATGGTGACTTACAAAAATATTGGTGTCTAATCTGGTCTAAATAATATACGTTAGATCATCGACAGCTACAACAGCAGCTGAGAGTCGCCAGCTGGAAGACTCGAGAGACACTTCCTGCACTTCGTGCTGGCTTTTAAAAAAGAAACTCGTTTAACGACCAACTCGCAGCGCATTCATGTAAATATAATAAAAGTCAATTAAATAACACAAAAGCTGTGCATAATTAAATGTATTATGCAAAACAAATTGCAAGTGCGGTTAAATAACACGAGGATAGTGTGAAGACTGCCTATTACTCCAATTAGGCTTTTTACTGGCACAAGACTAGGCCCAATTTAAGTATTACAAGCGAGTACTACCCGGCTTTGCACGGGCCAGGTTTTCACTACAAACTCCATATAAAAATATAACATCAAGTTTTCCCAGTTGGAGGTGTTTACGAAATTGCTGAAAAACGAATTCGTTAGATTCTTATGTGGAACAAGCTTTGATAGCATCTATTCCATTCGTCCATAAGGTTCCTAGAGCAGCTCTTCCGTTTGTCAGGATAAAAACTTTTCTTATATAGCTAAGTTATTATACCAAAGGAATAAACGAAGACAATGCAAACAATTCAAATACTCGTAAAATAACAGAACAGAAAGCGAAGCTGACACAAAATATTCTCCAGTTGTGGATTATCTTAAGCCAGATCTACTTTAGCTGAATTACCTCTTTTCTTCTCAGGTAACTTCTCTGTTCGTTATTTAAAGTGTTTGTTCGAAATTCAATTTTAGTTTAGTTTATTATTTAGTTTATAATGCAAAGTTTTTATTTAGAGAGATGTGGCATTTACTTAATAACTCTTGCGGATCTATATTTTTTCTGGTGTTCAATAATCCTCAAATTTGTAGTACAGCTTTTTACGCAGCTCTTTGATTTGGCATTAAAATAAAAGTAATTACCGCCAATTCAGTGCATGCTTCGCCCCCAAAATAATAATCAGGCATCCTCGCTCGGTGGCCGTCGGTGAATTTTATTTGATTTTAATTGCCGGCCGTGCTGAGATGTTTGCCATTTAATGGCTTTATTTATGCGTGTAGTAATCAACTTAATTTTTACGATTGCCGCCGTGCAACAACGACAACAACAACAACAACAACAACAACAACGACAACAACAACAACAACCTGTGGAGCTGCAAAATAAATGCAAATTTTTTGTTTAATGTTTCAAAATCGAAACACTGTGCAAAAGTTTCACTTTCAACGGGAACGCGTCCGATGACAGCGCGGAAAAGCGGAACGAGATCGTCGAGAGCTGAACGTAACCCTAAGGACATGTCCCAAAACAAAAAAAAGGAACAGCAACAAAAAAACAAAAAAAAAAAACGTTGAGACCATTTCAAGGGGACCACCCAAAAATAAAAAAAAAAAGCCCAAAGCTGATATCTCATGCGATATGATTTTTAATAAAGTTGTCAGTTATGAGTGGGTCGACCCTCTTTCTCTCGGCAGACAATCTCTGACACATTGGTACAGCTTGTAATCAAAACTTGACACAACTTTGAGAGCACAGAGTCTTATTCAAAAAAATCGAGGAAGAGTGCACTAGTCGTGAGACTGAACCGACTGAACCTAGCTTCCTTCCAAAGACCCACATACCCATTAAAAAACGGGTATTCATTAATCGGGCAGTCCAGAGTCCGGGTAATGGATCACTCTTGTTTTGTTTTTATCACGCCTGGAGCACATTTATTTATAAGATTTCTAATTTATTTTTATCTTATTAGGATTTCTAATTGAAGTTTTTAATTTAAACAACAAAATATTGTGAAGCCAAAAATAAAAAACCAATTACGTAGAGAAAATCGTATAGAGAAAATCTAATATAGCTACAGATGATGATCAAGATTTCCAGTTCTAGAGTTGATTTATCAATTGTGTACCAAGTTATTAGACTAATGATATACAATGGGAGAGTATATATCATAATTTGAGCCCCACCAGAGAATATAGAATACTTTTTGATCAATTAATAATTAAAAGTAATTTTAAGAGCAAGTCAAAGTCTCCGATATTGATAAGCTTTCGAAATGAATAGCAAGTTTGCTGTCTAAGTCTTTTGTCTATTTTCATCCTCACTTCTCACGGCTTAATAAAAATCCTCATAAATTGTAGAACACTTGGAATGAAATACTCCCTGAACACAGTATCACATAATATATATAGATAATGTCAAGAAAGAAAAAAAACCATTTTATCGACTGCAAAGCGAGTTTGTTGCCCGAGTCTTTGGCTTGTAATCGATCGATTGAATCATCAGGAATGCATAACAAAACATAATTCGCATTTACATTTGCAGATAACCCGCGCCGTTCCATGATGATTAGCGAACGCCACAAAACCCTCAATTTGGTAACAATAATTTCTTGCTGGCTTTGCCTGTACGCCGCATGCCCCGCCACCTGTGCGGCTGACGAGGTGTTCGAGGTCTTGCCACAATCTGTGGCAGCAACAGCGACGGGCAAGAGTGGCAGCCAACAGGATGAAGTGAATGGCTTGGCGTTTGTAACGCCCAATGCGACAACAGGTGAGCGGGAATATGGGTGCCAGGTGCGGTGTGCGGTGTGCGGGCTGCTGCTGAAGAGCTGCCAATGAACCGCATGAAATGCCGCATGCCGCAAATATGAAAGATTTGCACTTTGATTTTGTTTTAACCGCCAAATGCCGACATAATTGACACGGCCACAAGATCGCGAGCCGAGACGAGACGAGACGCAATCAGCACCTGTCCAGCTTTTTGCTCCGTTTGAGCTGCCTGAGCGCGTGAGGGGCTGGAGGATCAGGGGCTGGTGGCTGACTATTGGCTATTTTAATGGCCAGCATTAGGAGATCGAAACAATTTTAACGCAATCATGCGCGCTATTTTAATGTGGTGCAGCCAAATGAAAGTGAAAACGACTTGAATAGTGCCGGCAATTATGCAAGGATAAATGGCCAAAAACATATTTGCCGTGGCTTCCAGCTGCGACTGGGAGCGTAGGCAGCGAGCCGCCCGTCAGCGGCATTTAATCTTAGCCAATTTATATGCGTCAAGCCCAGCTGAAAAACCAATTGAGCCAAAACAAATCGAAAATTGCCAGCGCATGGCCAGCAGATCATTTCCGCCAAGTGCTCAGCTGCCAGTCGCGAGTCGCAAGTCGCGAGTCCAAGTTGCGAGTCCAAGTGCAGGTCCTCACCTTGATCGACGTCGCATTCAAATGGAAAGCGATTTGTCTGGTTTTGGCTAATAACTTATACGACTAACTCCAAGACTTCCAGTCGGTCTCTCGGCTTCGACTCAGTCGCCGTCATCACAGCCGCCCCGTTGATCAGTCAATCAGCCAAGTTGTTTGTTTGTGGCTCTCTTGATTGCCTGGCTAAGGCTGATGCCCTCCAGTCATCTGGCTGTGATCTTCCAGGTGGTTGGCAAGTTCGCAAAGTTATGTCTGTTAGCCTGCGGCCTGTATCTTGAACTCTATGTGACTTCGGCCTGCCCACACTTTGCTTGGATTCCAAGTTAGCTGCAGGAGGAAGATGACCCCCACGAATCAAGGGGTCAGCTAGCAGAGCAAACAGATAAGTCGACCCTCTAACTTGATGTTATTCTGCAAAATTTTGCGAAGTTTTTTCTCAAGAGCAAAGCACATTTTTCATCGCAAGTATGAATATGAATATGAAGTATATGAATGCTTTTATGATGTGCAATTTATTGATAGTATAAAATTCAGTTCGATTTGGAAATATCGGCTTCAAATTGATTGGGATATTTATGCTCCCTGCGGGATCTAATCTATCTGGTTTATATATAGAGATTCTTTAAAAAAAAACAGTTCTCAGCTTTTGCGGGAGATCTTAGCCAGGTGGGAAAGCCACCTGCAAGCCATTTGATGGGAGGGGGATTATAAAAGCTGCACAAGTTCAACCAAATTGAAGAAGCTCTTCATTCATTTCAGCACCTCGCTTGGATCCGAACAACAACAACGAGTGGCGACCTTTGGGCCACGGGGATCCGCTGCAAAAGGATCCCACCTATGATTACAGTCCGCCCGCGCTGGATCGTGTGCGCTACTGGGCGGAGAACAATGCGAGCAGTTCGGATGCCAGACAGAAGCAGCTGCCGGCGGAGGTGCTGCGCAACAAAACCAAAAGTGAAATCCTATTGCTGGGCGTACCCGGCGAAAGGGAGCGCTCCCGGCCGAAGCAGCCCAAGCAGCCGCAGGCCAAGTACGCGCCCATCCGCAGAAGCTACTATGCTCCTCCCCAGCAGCAGCAGCAACAGGTGCAGCAGGTGCAGCACATGCCGCACACGCACCTGATGCCGCCGCCAATGCTGATGAAGGGCATGGGTCATGTGGAGTATCGCCATTCGCCGAGCAGCTCCTCCTACATGAGCATGAACATGGGCGGAGGCGTCTATAGCTCGCCCGGTAAACAGTCCAGCTCCACGCATTACTACAGCAGTCCGTCGGCGGCGACGACGTCCTGGTTCAGCCACTCGCCGACCATGTCCGAGATGCCGCATCGCATGAGCTACATGGACGCACATCACCAGGAGTCCATGCAGCACTATTCCCTCTCCAGGCCGCAGGCCGTGAGCTATGCGCCCAACTCAATTCATGCGCACTCGACGACGGGAGCCCGCAAGCCCTGGCTGCACGAGCTGCTGCAGAAGGAGCTGGTGGTGAAGTCGACCATGAAGCAGCGCATGAAGCCCACCATGCCGGCCACCAAGTATCTGATGGGCACCACCAGGCCGCAGCTCCCAGCCGCCAGCCCCACCACCCACGCTCCCTTGACCTATTCGCCGGTGACCTTTGTTCCCGGTCCGCCCACTGTAGCCACGCCTACAACAAGCAGCACACGCCCAGAGGTCTATATCACGCCAAGCACGCTGATGTCCACCGGCAGCTCCGGTTTTCGACCCATGGTCGGGTCGACAACGACTACGACGACGACCGCGACGCCCATTTATCAGCGTCCGGAGACGACGTCAACGACGAGCAGCTCCCGGCTGATGATACCGCAGACGAGCAACCTGGCGCAGCGACCCACAGTGGCACCTGCCCCAGAACTAACCACCGATGCGCTCTTCTCGCACTACAAACAGCCGCCGAAGCCGCTGCTGGGACCGATGTACCTCATCATCGAGGGCCACTCCAAGGTCAAGACCTATGGCCAGAACGAGCTGGATCCGCACAGTCCCAAGATTGTGCCCGTCATTTCGAAGCGGGAGCCGGTGGTGCGCATTGCCGATCCCAACGAGCAGCGCGGCACCGTCGAGACCTACCAGGTCAAGCATTTGCATACCAAGACGACGCCGCTAACGACTACAACAACAACCTCCACGACGACGACGGCGAGACCAAGCACCACCGAGGGGAGTTCAATGAGTCCCAGCACAGAGATGCCGCCCGGTGGCGGCGTGCATGATCTGCTCAGCTTGCTGGACAACATGTTTGCCGATGCGCACGATATGGCCGCAACAAGCAGCACAACAGCGGGCAGCTCCTCCCTGGCCACGGCCTCGGCGAGCACCGTCTTAAGACCGGTGACAACAACGAAAACAAAGCTGCAGCCGCAGCTGCCGGAGCCGCGCATTGGCAGCCAGGCGGGCAGCATCGAGAGCCAGCTGGAGACGGAGGTCACAGACGGATCACAGCTCGCGACCAGCACGGAACCCGAACAGCCGCCGCGCGCCACCCGCCAGATCTTTGACTATGATCAATTGCCCGAGTCGCGCATTAAGGCCGAGGCCCCCGACGAACTTGACTACGAAGCCGATTATGATGACGATGCTGATGAAGCTAATGATAATGATAATGTTGATGGGGACAATCTGGAGGATGTGAGTGAAGATAGTCAACATAATTTACTCAAACGCATCGATAGATTCGTCGATGATGTGGATGATGGAGACGATGATTTGGACGATTTGATTGATGATAATGATAATGATGATGATGATGCTGATGCTGATGTTGATGCTGATGATGGTGAGCAGCAGCAGGCAGAGGAGAGCAGACAGCAGCAGCGGCAGCAGCAGCAGCACCATTAACATCAATAATAATATTTCTCTTAAAACTGCGCTCTATACCAAATCTATCAGAAAATTTTCTTATTTTTATTATTATATTTAAATGTAAATAACTAAGCTTTAAAGGAGTTGATCGTTTTTTTAGTTGTTAAGTGTGCAATAATTGACAATAAAAATATAATTTATGTTAGGATTATTTTTTAAATTCGCTTAAGCTATTCAAATGGTGCATGTCATTGCTAACGTAGAAAGCAGTTGCAGCGAATACATCCACCAGTTCGAAAAATCAAAAGTTGCTTTAGCAAAGACTCGGACCTCACACAGATCGAAACTATTGCTTGCAATCTACTCTTTTACAGTGCTCTGCTCTCTTCACTTTTGGCAACTGCAAAATATCAAGCCAACTGGATATTGTTGCGTGCTCACTGCGTTAGCTCTCTTTCACTATCGCGCCGCTTGTACCCGTACCCCCATGTACATGTAGATTGCCGCTCTGCAATTTTGCTTTGTTTATTTCTGTTTCGATTTTCCAAGCAGCAGTTGAGAATTTGACGTCGAAGCGAACGGTAAAACAGACCGCTTCCAACGTTCTCTGGAAGAAGCTCCATGCGCGTCGTGGGTGACAAATATCAACAACAAAAACACAGCTAAATTGTACGTCAAGTGCTTAAATTAACTTGAGAGTGTAAATTCCAGTCAAATTAGATTTACTAAAATTTGTGAGTGCAAAGCATCGCATTTAGCCGATGATTTTGTGCGTTTTATTTGTTTGCTATTTACAAAGCAAAACTTACCGCTTAAAGCGGTACTGGCGTTTTATTTTGTTTTCGACTTCGCTTTCGCTTTTGTTTGCATATAAAAGAGCGAGCAAGAGAGGGAGAGACAAACAAGAAAGCTAAAGTTGAAAGACCCATGCATTGAAGTGTAAAGTGTTGCAGTTTTCTCTCCTCTCTCTTTCCAATCGGAATACATTTACCTATAAGCAGCTACAAAAATTGCCCAAAACACGTGTAACAATTGTCCCTGTCTTCTGAGTCAGTTTATGTGACAAAACTCTAAAAAAAAAACAGCCAGCAACTATGCAACTCACCCGCACATTTGGACTTTGAAAGTGTGACTAAAAGTGTCAGCGCCGCATAAAATTCTGATCAGACTCTGTACGTACATATACAAATGTATGCGTGCGTGCTTGAATAACCTTGATTTGTCTGCTAGCGTCTTGTTAAAAAGCCACATTAAACATACGAAATAAAATGTTTTTGGTTGCTGGATGTTAGTTGTTGGTCTCGTCAAAACACAACAAAAACGAAAAAGAAAAAAACAACCAAGCAAACTTCTAAGCCAAAAGACAACAAACAGGTTCGGCGATCGGGCGTGCAAAAACACAAAAAGAGCACAGATAACGAGTGAAAGAGAGGACTGCGAAGAGCAAAAAGGGCATAATGCATAAAACGAACCTTTTTGGCCACAGCAAATCCAACTAGAAAAGTCAAATTGAACTATGTAAAAACAAACGCTGATATGCTTGTTACGAGAGTTTATCAGCCAAATGTCAGACATTGCTGATAGCGCTTCGGTGCGAGCAGACAGCAGACGCCGGTTGATAAGCCGCCAAATTCATATATTTTTCGATTGCGTCGCTGAGCATCCGTTAACATTGTAACATTGTAATGTAATAAGCGGACATAGCTGTTCGTCAGAGCGCCCACGCATGTGTACATATGTCTAACTAGATTTTCTACAAATATGTCCAATTTGAATTCACACAATGTCTAACGGAACTGAGGAAATTTAAAGCAATTCAAGCTTATCGCTGCATCTCACTTGTCTAGGCAGCGAAATTGACCTGCATTACTGACCTACTTTACCTGTGGGGCTCAGTTCTCGCCGAAAGACCGATTCGGCGACCGGTTTGCGACTGTAATTAGCTGGCCATGTGTTTCGTTTAATTGCTAGTAAACACAGAAAAAAATAAAATGTATATAAAAAGTGCCTCATTCAATGCACAATCAATTTTCCAGCGCATTTAGTCAACAATTACGTAATATGAGCATATACATATTTCCAATTGCAGGCCCCATGCCCTTAACAGGCACCTCTTATTGGACTGTATAAGACTACTGATATAAGATATCAAAATGTCAATGCCCCGCTTTATATTATAAGTAAATATGAACATAGCGTTCAGCCAAACCGCAGCACGCATATAAATCCATATACACTCATACATATAGACGCATGTGTATGTAAGTTGTAACTGCACATGTGCTGCTGCCCGTACAATTACACCGCAGTCTCATTTTTCTTCTTGTCTCTGATGAGCCATGAAGCCTACTTAATGAAGTCGCGTCACGATGACTCGACTTAATACACACACACACAAACACACACACGCACGCACACGCACGCATTGAATAATGCACGTCGAGCACATGAATACGAATTGCATTTAGTATATGTATATGTATGTATTCATATAAGACCAGTTCAATGCTTTCCCAACAAGATAAAGTAAAAAAACGTTTTATCTGATGTATGTAGGAGGAAGTGTTCACAAGGTGTGAAAAGCTGCGATATTAATCGACGGTCCTTATCATTGTTTACGTACTATAAATTTAAATAATCAAAAGTATTTTTATTCAATTAAAATTTTGTCTATTTTATTTTTGGTCTACAAATGACGTAGAGAACATTGTTACTCAAGCATTCAATTTCTGTGATAACCCAACCGAACTGTGATTCAATGATAGATTTCTTTAAAAATAAACCAGATCATGAATATATATATTCAATAATTGTTTAAACAAATTTCTAATCAAATCTTGTTTAGAGAAGGCGTCATAAATAATAAACAAGTTACGTGAATGCGGACGCATTTCGTATCAAAACTAAAATACATTTTTTAATACCATAGAATGCTTAGTATACAACTTAAGCATAGTCGTAGGCATGTGTGTGTGTGTGTGTGTGTGTGTGTATGTTTGAATAGGCCGCCATTTGTGAATGTATAACAAAAAGAGCCGGCAATCAGTTGGAATTTATTTAAGTGCATTAGATTAATACTTTAAACCAGCTGGCACAAAGTCATCCAATTTAAAAGAATGTCTAAAATTGTTTTGTTTGCCTGAATTTCTTTGAATTGTGTTAAACAGCAAAACAATTTAAATGGAGCTTTAAAAGCAGCTAAAGTTTAATTTAAATCCAATTAGCTTTTAGCTAAAAGGACGACAAATCTTGGAAACGGCTTGGGCCAATTCAAATTAGACATAAAGCTACTAAAAATATGCTTAATAAGCTTTTGAGTAAATTAGAAATTTAAATTAGAAAGCTTCGCAGCGTTCTTTTGATGTTCTTTTAATAACTAATCCAATGTTTAGTCAACATAAACTTAATTGAATACATTTGCAACCGAGGTTTAAAAGTTGCTGAAAGCACCGGAGATTAAGGATTCTAATTCAAGAAAATGTTAGTTGAGCTTAAAAAGCAACAAATTAACTTTAAAAGCGCTTGATATAAATTTGCAATTGGAAAGCTCAGTTTTTCATTTGAATTTCTTTCTCATAAACTGTTCTGCTGGATTAATCCATGGCTTTCACTTTAAGGCCATGTCATTGAGCAATACTTGGCAGGCATTAGAAGTCGTTTGCTTAATTAGAATTTGCATTGCAAATTGTGTGTGTGTGTGTGATCACCTTGCGTGTTAAACTACGAACTGTACCTAATCTCCCCCATCGCGTAATTCTAGAAACTGAGGCAAGCGCTTATCATAGTTCAGCTTGAAAGCCAGTTAACAGCTTCCAGTAAATTTATTGTATTGGCAAATATCTGTTTACCTGAACAACTGCCCCCCCCCCCTCCTCTCTCCCGCTCTTTCACCCAAGTTGAACTTCAACTATTGCGAAGCAGATGTGGTTTTATTGTGATTAGTAAAGGTCTTAAAACTTGGGCTCTCAAGTAAAACAACTGTGAAACTAATTTCGAAAGCAAAAATTTCGATTGTTTCGATTGTTGATAATGCGTTCTTTTTATGGAAGCGTGCCCCCTGAGTGCGAATAGTTTTACAAGCAACTTTTAAAGCAAATCGCCAATTTTTCTTATCAAATTATTGCATTTTTAGTGCCGAAAAAAATGTGCGCGATAAGATTTGATAAAAAAAAAAATTAGACCATTCGTTAAATGGGACAACTTGAAATGGAATCTAATCGAGGTTTCTCTTAACAAACAGCCGGGCAGCAACTGAGAGCCATGACAGCGACTAAAGATCCCAAGGAGCAGGGCCCAACGACAGCAACAGCGACAAAAACGCAACCGGACCAGAAGAATGGCTCAGCCGGCGGCCTAATGAAGCGTCTGCGACGTTCCGCCTCGGTGACGGAGCACAATCTGAGCAGCCTGCGGGATCGCAAGTCTACGCAGAATCTCTTCGATCAGCACGGCAATCCCATTGATCTCCGGCAGTATCGCAAGGTGCTGGACAAGGACGAGAACGGCAATGGCACCAGCGAAAAGAAGCTACGCTATAGACGCACCCAGAGCGTGACACGCGCCGAGGAGATTACCAACAAGGAGGCCAAACAGCGCAAGGCTCAGCCCGACAAACCGTAAGTGAACCTGTTCATAAACCCTTTTTGGGGCATCTATCTAACTGTCATTTTGCAGTATACATCGGCCCCGTGACTCGCTCTTCTCCTGGAGCTCGGGCTTCACCAATTTCACGGGCCTGGTCAACTGGGGTTTTCTGCTGCTCTGCATAGGTGGGCTGCGCCTGGGCTTGGAGAACCTGCTCAAGTGAGTACCAGCAATGTATACAAGGATTAAAGTGGCTTCTACTAATAGCTTGTGAATGCTTTGCAGATACGGCGTACGCATTAATCCCATTGACTGGTATTTCTTTGTGAGCGGTCGCAACGAGGGCGAAGGTCACAATGCCCTGCTCCTAATCATCTGTAGGTGTGCCTAGAAAGCCCCAGACGAACTACATTTAAAACCCATTCGTTTCTTTACAGACTCTTTGGTTCACATATCCCTGTGTCTGGCTGTCGAAAAAGGCTTGGCCCTGGTAAGTAGACACTCGCCTCAGGCTTTACTCACTTTGAAGCTTCCTTCTGCGCAGCTGTGCCAAAGGGCGTCCGAACATGTCCATTAACCTCCACATTTTGCTTCGGCGCGTTTTTAAAAAGGTCGATGCCAAAAGATCCTATTTCTAATTTGGTTGTTTCACAAAAAAAATTTAACCGCTTTAGACAGCCAACTCACAGCAGAGCGGATATAGTCTTAACTTGCTCCGAAAGTCCCTTTCCAGTAGAGAGTTCTAGGCGCAGATCATCATATACAGATAACGCTCGAAAATTAAAGCAAGTATCGCTCTATCTTTAAAAAATGAATCCATATAATATGGTCGATATAAATCCTTAAATCTTTTAAATGTATCAATCATATTAGAATCACGGCTGCAAATCCAGAAAGAAAATTCTCGGTGGTTCAATATACGCTTCGATTCTAGTCCCGTCCTTTAGGCTCGTGAGCCTGGTTCTTATTTTGAACCAACCCTTCTTTTTGTTTGACCAGGAGATTCCCTAAACCCAACGCCCGCTTGCGGTGCGCCCCATCAAACTTTTCTTTGTACGTTTCAAACATAACTATATATTGATTACAATATTACAATTGTTACACTTATAAACAAATCTTGTATGACAATTAATAATTCGTGCTTTGTGTGTATATGAGTAAAGTATGGTGTGTGTGCGTGTGGCAGACGCACCCGATTTGTGTTATGTAAAAACCTAGGCAATGCGTACTCCCGCCTGATCGCAATATTTCTGCAGCATTTGCTTGTATTCGGCATCAAGTGGTGCCAGCAATGTGGTCAGTTCTCCTTGTGGACGCCTTTGCGACAAACTGGACAACGAGCTGGCCAAGAGTTGGCGGGCATCAGTTACCTCGGCTAGGTGATCCACCTGCTTGGGTTGAGCAAATGTGAGCTGAGAGAAAGCTGCCTGATAACCCGGTTCGGCATCTACTACAATATCTGCCTCAGCGACAGCTGCATCGCCGTCCAAGTAGGGCAGCTTCTCTGGAGGCCGTTCGAACAGATCAATTAGTGCGTGAAGTAAACGTGGCCAGTACGCTGTGTATTGACCGGACACTAATTCGGGACATTCGGTGAGCAGTTTGCTAACGCCCACAGCGACCAATTTACGCTCCAGTTCTTTGCTGACCTTGGCCATATCCGTGATAAAGACGCGTTCCAGCAGCATGCCGAACATGCCCGGCTGAATATCCTCGATAAGTTGCACCAGGGGACTACCTCCAATTTTGACCACGTAGAAGCTGAAGAACACAATGATGCCATTCAGATACTTGGCGGTCTTTGACAGCGACAGCCGCTGAAATAGTAAGCCAAAGACTTGACGCATGCTTGACTGCAATTCGTCGGCGTTATAATAGAGCAATAGATTTTGTAGCAGATAAAAGCCTTCGTGATCATTCGCCTTGGATGCGATCATTTTTTGAAATATGCCCAGAATGCCATTCTAAAAAAATGCAGATTATTTAATGGGTGCGATTCATTTGTGCTTCTGCACGTTGTTTACCAATTTGCCAAGCGCTTGAATCTGTGCGGAGCCTTGTTTGATGAAGATCGACAGCAGGCGTATCAATGGCGTCACATTGCCTCGCCGATCCCACAGAGGCGGTGCCAGCAGGCAAGGGAACAGTGCCCAATAGGGTTCCGGTATGGGTCCAGTGTTCTCGCGCACCTCGAGCAGAACCGATAGCATTTGAAATACATAAGGCATAAACTCGGTGATGTCCTGTTGCAAGATGCCCTGGAAAACGGGAAATAGCGCTTCCTCAAACGAACTGACCGCTGAGGGATCTGCCTGGCAAACGATTCTAGATAAAACGCAAAATTTAATTCTTTTTCCGATATATTAAAAATTGTTGCAAACTTACTTAATGGAAAGCGACAACGTTTCGAAGAGGTAGTGATTAAATAGCGGGCGAGACGGATTCTTGGCGACAAATGTGAGAATTTCGGTGAGGCGCGGCAGAGCCACGGCCATATAGGGCATAGCGCCCGCCTGCAGCACATGGAAGCTCCGCATGATGGCTAAGCAATGAAATAACCAGATTATTTAATGGTCTTATGCATACATTTGTGACTCTAAGCTCACCTTTCATGACATATTCATTCTCCGCCGAACCAGTCAGCGCGAGCGTTGCAAACAGTCCGCTAACCAGTTGATTCGAGTGTGGAGCAATAACTTGTGGCCCGAACAAAAGCGCATTGCTCCCATCACGCATGGTCAGTATCTTCTCCAGCGAGCACGCAGCATAGCTGTGCACCACAATGCTCTCCGCGGGCAGATGGCGTATGAGATGCGGCAAACAGCCAGCCAGCGTCTGTGGTCCCAACAGACTACGAAAGACCATTACATATTTAATGGCAGCTGCTTTGAGCACTGGAAGCTCATTAACTGTGGAAGATAAAGTGTCGTAGGATAAAGAAAATGAATAGGTTACGGTCGCAGAAATCTTAAAGTAAATTTTAGTTTTGATAAAATTGTCCCACATAATCTAAACTTTCTGATAAAACACAATTAACCCCGTCTAAAGCTTAAAATATTATTAGATTAAATTAAAATTAAAGTATAATTACCATTGGGTCGCTCCAGTTCGGGCACAATGTGCTCGGCGCAGAACTGTGGCAACGGCACCAGCTCCGAGCTTTGTGTGATGCCATGTTTTTGGGTGCCACCGCGCGATGCCCATGAGGTGACCAAATAAATGGCGGTATCCTTGGCACGCCAATTTGACCTAGAGTCCTGCTTGTACTTGCCCAGCAAGATTTCCAGATACTGGCCAAATATACCAAAAATCTTTTGCTCGAAATTTATGGAGAGTGTCTTGACCAAATCACAGGCAGCGCGTCTTCGCGTATCAATGTCGGAGCCCTCAATGTCACGACGTATGTACTCATCCGGACTGTCCTCGAACAGTTCCTCGTCGGAAGGCCTGATGTCCAAATTGGGTATGACCACTTTCTCACATATGCGCGCCAATATCTCTGGATTCTCAAATATGCCGTGGTAATGCTTGCGCTCAGCGACAACCGAAAGAAATTGCAGCGCATTGGATACGAGCTAAATAATCAGGAAAATAATATTTACCATGCCATTACCATGCTGACAATTCACTTACCGAATCGTATTTTGTGTGCAGACTGGTCTTCACCAGCAACTCCCACACCGCAGTTACAAACTGTTCCATATACGGCTTGAACTCCTCGTCGTATTTGCGCGCATAGAGACAGATGTTCTCACAGACCTGGGAGCGCAAATGCTCCAATACGCCGGCATCCTCGTCGTCATCGGTGTGCAGAATGGCCACATCGACTGCCAGCTGTTGCAGGAATGCGCCCATCCATGTGCTCATGTTGTCCTCGAAGAACTCGGGCAGATCTTGCGAGTTGAGCGAAAAGAAAACCTTGTTGACCAGCACCAGAGAGCTATAAATGACTTTTAAAGCCTCAGCGTTGCCCTCGTGCAAAGTGCTTAGCTGCATGGTCGCCTGCAACAGATCTGTCAATGGCTTGGCCATACGGTCCAGTACAAACTTGATTTCTTCCCACAAGGTTTGCGATTTAAACTCGTAGCGATAACGCTTGAAGAGCGAATGCGCCGTTTGCAATATGCCGTTGATAACATTGAAATCGCCAGAGGCGAACTTCTCCACCATTTCGTCGATTAGCTGCGGCCACTTCTTGGGAAAATCATGTTTCCCGATGATGCTCACCGCATCGCTCAGTTGCTTCTGCAGCGCCGTCGGTGAGTGCAGCATCAATGTGACAATCAGCGTCTTGATCGTGTTGCGATCGCTCGCGTGTATGCGATCGGGTTCGTCGCTGTCCTCGTGCGCCGCCCAGTTTCGTTTCACGTAGTTCTTAAATGCAATGGCGCCCGCCACCCGAATGGTCATGTCCACGGTGGTTTTGTCGATCAGGTTAAGCAGCAGCACCGGATAGTTCTGTTGCAATTCCGTTGATTCCAGCAACTTTTCCGCTGCATGGTAAATAAATGTTATATTAGGCAAAGGCTTGCTTGCGAATGAGAAAGAGAGCGAAAGAGTGTTGCCCACCAATCAACTCTCACTTTTTTGCCGTTGATTTTGTAAACCGCTAAGGTGCCGCCGTTTTCCCGCGCGCGCTCAACCACCTTATGCTCCCTTTAAACTCACACACACACATGTTCTCTCATACTCACCGGGTCTGCGGACATTTGGGTCCGCGCTGAGCGTCTGTTGCAAATAACCGGCAAGCAATTGCAAATTGGCTTCGGTGACTTCCATTTCGTTGCTATGACTATTTATTTAAATTTGTATATCACGTTCGCTGTTGCGATTTTGATTGGGCTGATTGAACACTATTTTACAACATATAACGAAATTGCGCACACAAAGCAAATACGAGCAAGCGTCGTGCGAAACGATGGAATGACGAATGTGCCAACGGCGGTGATGGGTGTTTAAGCGATGATCGATAAATGAAGCTATCGCCACTGGCATTAACGATACATCGAGCGCGCAATAATATTGGTTCATTTAATAGCGATTAATAGGTGGCAATAATTTTGAAATCATATATCCTTTTTTTTTTGCAGGAAATAATATCCGAGGGCCTTGGCATGGTTATTCAGACTGTAAATATAATTGTATCGGTTTGTTTGCCTGTGGTGATTATACATTTTAAAGGCTCCGCCTTTAGCATAAGTAAGTATGCAGCTTGATTACTTTTTAAGAATTGTCTGTTAAAAAGTATTATCGCTTATAGTGGGTGCAACAACTGTGTGTTTCTATTATTCTGTGCTGTTCCTGAAACTCTGGAGTTACGTGCAGACTAATATGTGGTGTCGGAAGACCTACTACCAGCGGCAGCAGCCGCGTGAGCGACGACCAAGCATCAGTCTAGCGGAGCTCAGTAAGTGTTTTTCTTATTCAAAAAGTTATTTTCTGATTATTTTGAAATTTAGAAAGAAAACATCCCAATGGTGGCGACGAGGACGAAGATATAACCAAGCTGGTACAATATCCAGAAAATTTGAGTTACAAAGACATTCTGTACTTTTTATGCGCACCAACTCTTTGCTATGAGCTCAATTTTCCCCGCACTTCGCGCGTTCGCAAGCGTTTCTTACTGAAACGTCTGTTAGAAGTGCTTATTGGCGTGAATGTGTTAATGGCCTTGTTCCAACAGTGGATTATTCCCTCGGTGCGCAATTCTTTGATACCCTTTTCTAACATGGACATGGCATTAGCCACTGAACGTCTGCTAAAACTTGCGGTTAGTATAATTATCTTTTACTAGATATATATCTGATTTTATTTAAAATATACCATTTTACTTTCAGCTTCCTAATCACTTGGTCTGGCTGTGCTTTTTCTATCTGTTATTCCATTCATTTCTGAATGCCATCGGCGAAGTACTAAACTTTGCCGACCGCAATTTTTACTGTGACTGGTGGAACGCCAATAATATTGATACATTTTGGCGTACTTGGAACATGCCGGTGCACAGGTGGTGTGTGCGTCACCTGTACATTCCCGTCGTACAAATGGGTTATTCGTCTCGTCAAGCATCCACGATAGTGTTCTTATTCAGCGCCTTTTTCCACGAGTACCTGGTAGGCTTCCCGTAAAACTTTTTCTGCATTACATATTTTATTTATACATTTTCCTTGTGTTGTAGGTATCGGTACCCTTACAGACCTACAAAATTTGGGCATTCCTTGGTATGATGGGCCAAATACCGCTATCAGCTATATCGAGGTATATTGAGCGTCGATTGGGTCCACGCATGGGCAACATTATCGTTTGGGCGTCCATTATCTTGGGTCAACCACTGTGCATTATGGCGTATTATCATGACTACGTCGTAACACATTTCCAGAATGCGCTTAATAGCACTGACCATAGTTAGACTTTGGGTAATATAATCTGGTCTGTACTTTTTTAATGATAAGCCAAATGCAAGTTGAGGAAACTTGATGCCACATACAAGTCAATTTTGTAGTTTTGAACGAGAAGTACTGAGTAACATAAATCGATTGTTATTTAATGCATTTGTTAATGATTTTAGGCATTATGTAAATAAAGAGAATGGATATTGAGTTGCATTAGTCTTAAAATTTTATTTGCCTTCGTTTTGTAACTAGTTCTATTAGACTAGATCACATTTGGCGCTCCGCAACAGCAGTTGCCTTTTGGCGATAGTTCATCACTACCGTGTTTAGTCATATCGATGTATATACAACAGTATCGATAAGTGCCTGCTCTACTTAGTGGTAACAACTTTTCTCTCCTCCACCAGAGCCAAGCCAAAACATATTCTACTTTTTCTCATAAGAAAAGCAATTTATTTGTAGTGTAATCTACAATTTTAAGTACGCGTGTTGAACTTGTTATGTGCATTTAATTTGTTACTAAAAATTGAGATAATAATAACCGTTACATTGCTAAGGTAAGCGCGAATCCTAATTGCAAATTGGTCAATAGCTCGTCGGCGTTTTCGCGACGCCCGGCACAGACACAAACATGCATATGTATGTACAAGACATACGTACACGCACACATAGGTTATCTTCAAATGTGTGTGTGTGGTTCTCGTGCTTTGAAAGAAAATTTATATCGGCTTGCAAAAGGCGCAATCCGTGTGAGTGAAAAGCAAAGCTGCTTTAAATTAAAATGCTATTAATTTACAGAAACGTTTGGCGTTGTCAGCAGCACCGACTGCTCCAACTCTGTAAACAATCAGCGGTCTACGTTAGTGCAAAACCAACGCAACATCAAACTAATTTGAAATACACCACTAGCAGCGACGACCCGGCAGAGGCAGCGAATTTTAGTCACGTAAGTGCGGCGCACCGCTAGCTTGGCATCCAATCTCATGTTTTCTTTTTACGACAGATCATGAGCGGTCGGTATCGCGGTGGGGGCGGAGGCGGAGGAGGAGGTGGCCGCTATGGCGGCGGGGGTGGTGGCTATGGTGGCGGTTACAACGATTTTGATAACTATCGTGGCGGTGGAGGCTGTGGAGGAGGCGGTTACAACGACAATTTCGGCCCTGGTCCGAATCCTTTCAATAGTAAGTAATCTATTTCATTGAAATATTATGAATTTCAACAGCAATTAATGCCTGCACATTTGACAAAAATGTCAACAATGATATCGTTATCGAAATAAACTATCGAGGTTTCTTTGAAAAATATGTCATTGCTCAAGTAAATTATAAGAGCTTCGTCAGACATTATTAAGTTTCTATTATAGCAAACAATTTAACAAAATTAGTTTTCCGCCTAATTAAAAGAATGTATAGATTTTCAAAAGGTTTGTATAGCCTTTCAGAGGATTCTTTAATTATACTCTTCTATAGGAAGAGAAATCCTCGACCCATCACGTATATATGTATACTAAACTATTTTCAATTAAATTGCTTCTTTTTTTTTTTTAAGTGGGACCCAACATCTCAGGCAATGATCTGATGCATCTGATGAGCGCGATGGCCAGCAATTTTAGCATGAACTCGCAGCCTCCACAGCCCATGCGCCAGAGTTGTGGAGAGCTTCGGAATCATCACTGCGGTATGTTTGTAGAGCTGTCGGGGCGCCTGTTTAAAAAGCGCGTAAACCGTTTTGCTGAGTTACGCGATCGCAATGGTGGCGCCTGTCAGCTGGTCGTGTTGGAAGACAAACATCCTCGTGTGGCTCGTCGCATGAACAATATGCCTGAGAACACAACTCTGACCATTGTGGGTCAAGTAATGAGAAGGCCACACAACTCGTGCAACCAGACAATGCCCACCGGCGAAATTGAGGTGGAGGTGCAGGACATACTCAGCATACATTTCCCAGCCAGCGGCACGAAACGTGCTGGCGACAAGCGTACCTACAGCACCATGGCCCAGCAACAGAGCAGCCTGGGCATCACTAGCACCGAGTACAAAATTGCCAGTGAGTAGCAGTGAAACATATAACATGTATAACATGACAATAATTTGTGTTCTTTGCAGAGAATGAGAACATCTTAAAGTACTTTGAGAATCGCGATCTCACCTGTAATGATTTGCGACGCGATGATGTCGGTAAAACAGTCACTTTGGTGGGCTGGATACCCTCGACCAAAAACAACAAGTTCTTGCAGCTGAAAGATGGCTACGGTCAGACTCAGCTTATGATCGATGATCAATCTGTGAGTAAATATATAATTTTGGCTAAAAAATGATTGGAAATAAGGTTGCAACTTATCAAACATTTTCATAACATTTCCCCAAAGCTTAATATAAAGTTTTGCTTAATTGCCTCAACTACACCTCCTAAATGTGCAACTAAATTAAATCACTTTTTTTTTAATTCGGTTTTTTTAAACCACCTTTCGGTCTTGTATTTGTATTTGTATTATATTTATTTATTGAATAGTAGCGCTTAACAATATTAGTCGATATCTAGTATTTTAGTGGCATCATAACCTTAAGCTGTCGGTGTTTAAGGTGGCGCAATAAAACTAATCATTCTTTAGAAAAAAATTCATGCATCGAAGTTAAACCGAAGCAGAAAGGTTTAAAGTGCACCAGGTTAATACAAAGAATTAGCATAATTGGGCAGCTATATTTAATGTGCCCTTGACTATTAATGCAGTCAAGCACATAATGCCAACAAAATTGTAAAAATCGTCTGTTTGTAGGTATTGTTTTTGGATTTGGTTTACATACATATTTTGACGCAATATTCCTGCGATTTAAATTTCCTACAGATAGGAAATCGAAATGCCGTACTTTCATGTAAGTTCCATGGCGAGCACCCAATAGTTTATTGTCCATAGCTCAGTATATGTTCCATGGCTTTGATGGTCATCTAATCGAGCCTACAGAAAGATTCCAGAAGGAAGAGATTGTTTGGCTGCAATTTGATTACAGTGAATTTTACCATGCCCCGGGATCTACCCGAGCATCAAACTCTCAAAACCCCTTGAGGAAATCATTTGTAGGAAGTTTCAATCATCTACCAACAATATTAAGAAAGTCCTTTCACGTCCTTTTGATATAATTATTGCTGTTCTTTATTTTAGACATTTGCTAATATATAATTTTTTTATTTTACAGCTAATGGACACATTTCTGTCCACACCAGAGCAAACGGTGCTGCAAATCGTCGGCAAAGTGCTGGGCCGGCCAAAGGCAAACATAAACTTGGTAGGTGGATGGGTTTTTTTTAGTCATTCCGAAAGCGCCTGATTTCTGATCTTTTTTTCGCTAGAAATACGACACTGGCGAAGTGGAAGTCAGTGTTACCAATGTCAAGGTGTTAAATCCCGACGACCCCTATGAGGGTCCCATCAAGGTTAAAGAGAAACTGCAGAAGATGTCAATTGATGATCTCGATGCCGATGAGGCTGCTGCTGTTTCAGGGAATCCTAGCAGCGCCAATAATGGCGATGGCGATGCTCATGGCAGCGAATCGGCTGCTCCTGGCGCAGTCCAGACGATTGCCGAGCAACAGCGTGTAAAGGTGGCAGACACCAACAAATTTGCAGACCGCACACACAACTGCGGCGAACTGACATCCAATGAAATTAACGAAAAGGTGGTAATATGCGGCTGGCTGGAGTTTCAGCGCATGAACAAATTCTTCATATTGCGTGATGCCTACGGCCAAACGCAAGTGCTCATCTTGGCCAGGACAAAGGGCCTTGAAGAGTATGCCGAATCTGGCGTGCCCATTGAATCGATTGTGCGCGTGGAGGGCACAGTCATACCACGCCCAGCGGCCACCATAAATCCAAAAATGACCACAGGACATGTTGAAATCGAGGCCGATAAAGTCGACGTACTCAATGCGGCCAAGAAGAATCTCCCCTTTGAGATACGCAAATTTAATCGCGCCGGCGAACGCTTGCGCCTCACGCATCGTTATTTGGACTTGCGCTTTAATGACATGCAGCATAATTTGCGTTTGCGCTCGGCGGTTATAATGCGCATGCGCGAATATTTGATTAACTACTTGGGCTTTGTGGAGGTGGAGACGCCAACGCTGTTCCGTCGCACGCCCGGCGGTGCCCAAGAGTTTGTGGTGCCCACACGCAAGGCAGGCCACTTTTATTCACTCGTTCAGAGTCCACAGCAGTTCAAGCAGATGCTGATGTCCGGTGGCATCGATCGCTATTTTCAGGTGGCCAGATGCTATCGCGATGAGGCCACACGCCCGGATCGTCAGCCGGAGTTTACACAGCTGGACATTGAATTGTCGTTCACCAGTCGCGATGACATAATGCAACTGATCGAAGAGACGCTGCGCTATTCGTGGCCCAAACATTTGCCCAAGCTACAGACGCCATTTCGGCGCATCACTTATGAGGAGGCCTTAGAGAAATATGGCACCGATAAGCCGGACACACGGTTTGGATTTTTGCTTAATAACGTCTCGGACATCGTCGAGAAGAGCGAAAATTTCAAGGGAAAATACGATGACTTTGGCGCCTATGCCATTGTTGTACGTGCCAGCGAGGCCTTTTGGAATGGTGCCGCCCGCAAGCATTACGAAAGCCTGAGTAAAGCGTTCTCGGGCACACTTTTTGTGCGCAAATTCAACTTTGCCAATGACTTGCAGGAGAGACTCACGAAATTACTGGGAACTGATGTGGCAACCGAGATTATTGAGAAATTTGATTTGGAAGAGAACGATTTGCTTTTCCTGTGCATTGGACCCAAGGTGGAGACGGTTAGTAACGCGAAACAATTAGTGTTATCTTGATGCCATCTTTAGCTTCGTTTTTGTATTCTCCACAGCGCAATATTCTGGGTCGCATTCGTCTGGACTATCACGAGTTTCTCGTGGAGAATGTAAAGACCAAGAAATCCAACGACTATCGTTTTCTATGGGTTGTCGATTTTCCACTATTTGAGCGCAACACTGCCACAAATCAGCTGGAGAGTGTGCATCATCCGTTCACGGCGCCGCTTGTCGAGGATTTGGATAAGTTTGCAACCAGTTGCGACAATCTTGAAACTATTCGTTCTGAAGCCTATGATCTGGTGCTAAATGGACAGGAGGTGGGCGGTGGCTCAATGCGCATACACGATCGCGATATGCAGCAGTTCATATTGGAGCAAGTGCTTAAGATTCCCCACGATCATCTGTCGCATTTGTTGAGCGCCCTGGAATCTGGTTGCCCCCCTCATGGTGGCATTGCTTTGGGACTGGATCGTCTTATAGCTATACTATGCCGTGCGCGTTCCATACGCGATGTGATTGCATTCCCCAAGTCATTAAACGGACGGGATCCACTCTCTAATGCACCAGTGCCTATTTCAGAGGACGAGATGAAACTCTACCACCTCACCGTGCAACAGGCTGACGCGGAGGAGGACGGTGCTAGCACCAATGATACAGCACATGCTCAGGAGGATGATGATCCAGACGCAGTGCGTGCTCCACCATCGCCCATGTCGGGCACCAGCGACACGGAGCAAGCCAGCATGGATGTCGATGTCAAGAACGAGCCTGTCGACGAAGTGCCAGCACCAGAAGCAATAAATATCGACGATAAACTTGAGACTGCGGCGCAAGCTCCACCACTCTCGCCAACAGCCATAAAAGAGGAGCCAGCCAAAACGGCGACAGATGAAACACCAACCCCAACACCAGCACCAACACCAACAGCAGGTGCAGCAGCGCCAGCAGCGGCGGCGGCTTCAACAACCGCGACACCAGTGACGCGTGCCAAACGCGTAATCAAAAAAAAAGTGTAGGGCGCCCCATTTCGCAAATGAGCAATAGCGGAGATAAAGATACGACTTAGCATTTTATCCATAAGCTCAAATAACACATGTAACGGCATGTTCAGGATGCCGACAGAAAGTCAACAACCAACCAAGATGTCACCGCTCTAATGCCTAAAGTCAGTCAAACCAATGCAGTGTGGCGCCGGAGGGCGGACCCTATTAAATTGTATTGTAAATGCCATTGGCGCAATTTTGTACTCAATGGTTTAATTGCCCATCTATCCTTATAACCCTCTCCTAAGCGGATGCTCTTCGCGCGCCCGCCCACCAACATTCGTAAGTCCATTTTTTAATTATATGGCGATTTATTACAATTTACAATATCATTATTTACGAACTGCTATTGTATTGCGATTTGTTTTAAAATACAATAACTCCATTAATAAGGTGTGCGCATTTACTTGTATTACATTCTCGTAGGGGTACTCGGTCCAGAACCGGGCAAAACTGTTAAACTAATGCATATTACTAATCCGCTTGTGACATAGGTTTGGTTTTAGCCAAGGCTGCAAACACCCAATTTTCTATTTATCATAAGCCATAAATTAAACTAGATTTGTTTGAATAGAACTGCAGAACATATTTTTAAAAAAAGTAATTTTTCTATTTGAAAATTTAAAAAAATTTGCACACTGCACTGCCGATATATGAAAAAAAGAATTCCAATAAATAAAAACATTGTGGAATTTGAAAAAATAATAAATTGAATTGCTCTACTTAAAATTGTAGGAAATGTGGCTTGGTTACATAGGTGTGGAAAACCAGGTGAACCGTTAACTTGCTTGGTTTTAGCTATTAACTTTCTTAATATATATAAGATTATAAGATATAAGCAGGGATAAGCAGCGACTTTAAAATAATTTCGGAAAACGTACGAAACGAAAAACGAAATTTAAAACAAAATGTTTCAGTTTTTGTATCGAAAAATGTCCAAAGGGAAAATATGAAGTCTTTTTGAGAGTTTAAGGGATAGAAGCCTAAATAGATACTAACATGTCGCTATATAATAATATTAAAATATATGATAATATATGGCTTACTGGCAAGGAAGGATGCTAAATATAGAGGAAAGCTAGTGCACCTTTGGAATGCTGAATACGTTATTGTCTACATAGCCAAAGGTAAGATTGCGCCTATAGGCCCACCAGTCGAGTGGTTTATTCAATTGACGATCGTCTAAGTCTACAGATTCCGTTGAATACTGTTCCTGCTCCTCGACAGAATCGTCGCTTTCGCTGTCCTTATGCGGCGGAGGACTGTAGCTGGTCCAATTCTCATAGATATCGTGGGCATAGGGCGCCGCAGGCAGATTGTTAAAATTTGTGGCCAGCTTGCCAAACTGATCGATGTGCTGTAGCAAAGGATCAACGCTCTGGGCAGGTATTTTGAGTGTCAGCGTGGGTGTGCTCGGATGTTTCACGCCAAGCGTAGGCAAATCCGTCCACTTGCCCAGCGCATAGGGTGAGGTGTCGTTAGTGTCTATCAGAAACATGCCACGCGTGCTGTGGCGTATGTTGTCACCGGCCTCCAGCAGATAGTTTGTGGGCGGACACATGCCCAACAGGTAGGGGATGTAACCACTGCAGGCCCAGCCCCAGAAGCCTTTGGGTGAGCGTATAGACTCCAGGTAATAAGCCATCGCCCGCTGATGGCTGCATGCAAATGAATCTGCGAGAGACGTTCGTGAATTAATCAATTTTTCTCATCTTATCTTTAGCAGTTGCACCCACTCATCCACTGCAGTCCCGTGCAGCCAGGCTGTGAAATGCCACCGTTCATGTAGAAATCAGCGTGTCCGCAGCGCTCCAGCTTGCCCTGGACCAGGGCATTTGTGTGTATGACATCGACAAAGTCGGCATCGCTGGGATCCAGCTTGTCATCGAGACCGGCGGTAATAAAAAGTGGCATCGCAGGGTCCAGGCCAGTGACGCGGGGCAGCTTAAAGGATTTCAACTGGCGCGCTATATAGTTGGGCACCTGGGCGCCCAGCGAGAAACCAATAATGTGTATATCTGTGTTGCCTGCCTCCACCAGACGCTCCACCAGCTGCGCAGCACAGGCTCCCGCTTGCCGCGTGTTGTGCACGGCGCTTATGTAGCATGGCCCGGGCGCCAGCACGCTCCAGTCCACATAGATTATGTTGTGGTCCGATTTGGCCAGGTATTCTAAAGAGAATTTCAAGCAGATTAATAATTGGAACCTTTTTATCGTTTGTTGGATAATGGTATAGAGGGAGTCGCCACCAAAGCTCCAGATTCGAAGAGGTATCTTAAATTGGTTTGAAGACTAATAGAATTCCGATTTAAATATAAGATCATAACATGATAAGTGATAAAAATTCGACCTACATATCGATTGACCTCGAGTTATCATGCATTTATATGGAGCATATTTTGGGAGGTCGAGTATGATTTTGTATACCCTTCAGGGGGTAGCAGAAGGAGGCATGACCGACTCCAAAAAGTAGATGTGTATTCTTATATTTTGAAGGGAGTGTGAGGAGGTAAAAAAAAGTAAAATATTCTTGATCAGTGTACCTAAGTTTTTAAGTTATCCTTTAAAACCAACAAATAATTTATAAATGTGACGAAGTATCGACAAAATGCTTATGGTAATTTATTTCAAATTTCAAGTCTGTAGCTTCATTTGCTCATAGGTGATCAAGAATATATATATTTGTTTTATAGGGTGCCAATATAAACTTTTTTAGGTTGCAGTTAGATTTGTGACATGGTCTAATTTCTAACTAAGTATATTCAACGCCGAGAATAATAAGAACTTTTCAGAATTTGAGAAAGTGTCCTATTAAAGGGCAGCCAGTACATTTTTATAAAATGTGCTTAGAATCACATGAGAAATGAAGTTCATTTTTTATTGCTTTCTTTTACTTCTTCTGCCCAAAACTATTTTTAAACTAAGAGCACGAAATCATCTTCAAGTAACTGGAAACTAAATACAACGCGCAGGTTGTGTTTTGGGGTCCGGTTCTACAAAGTGTACTAATTAATATTTGGTAGAATTATTTGCTCACCATTTCGCATTTGTTGAAGCGGGTTAAGAAACATGTCGGAGTTGTAGCCATGTATAAGTATCTTGGTGGGATGTCGTGGATTGAAATAGGAGTCGGTGAGATTGGACTGTTCCGCCGTCTCATCAATGTGCAGACTCTGACGATCCATGACATTGTGACGCGTGTAAATATAATACTTAACATCCGGATCCGGACAACTTCGTCCTATGGCCCATTTACAGGGTCCGACGGTAATATCACGATTGCTAAAGGGCTTCGATGTCACCGGGGCAGCAGTTGTTTGTTCCGTAAGATTATCCAAATGTGGCGCGGATTGGGTTATAAAATCAAAGACAGACGCGCCACGGCAGCTGCAGACTAACGGAAGAGTTAGTCTGATTTCGGGATTGGTTTTTAAGATCGGGCAGTCACTTACCTAAGAGCAGGCAAGCTACCGCCAGCAGCCTGTGACTCATCTTGAGCTCTTGATTTTAAATGCAATTGCAATTAACGTTTTTGAATTACAGCGGCACAAGCTGTGCATTGTCCGGAAATATTGGAGAAACTGAATGCCGGCCCTCAAGCCGATGACCATTTTGGCCAATGTGTAGTAAGTACAACGCAGTCAAGCAGCGAATGCGAGTGTGTGTGTTTTTTTTTTATTATAAAGTGAGAGTTGCGAGAGAAACCAGTACTAGTGCCCTTTTCGGGAGGGAACGACTAGGAGATGCCCCAGGCCCAGAGACGAGCTGCCGTTACAAAAATTCGAATTTTCAGATAAATATAACTTGGAATAAATTCATGTAACTTGTCTTAATTTATTGATTTTAGCTCTTGTTACTACCCTGTTAATAAATCGATGCTTATTAATGTTATGGAACAAGAATATATATTTCAAATTGAAAACTTTTTCAGTTTTCGAGATTGGCTGATCAGGAATACTTTATGGTGTCAGAGTTTCTTCCTTCCAGCTGTTACATACATTGCCACAAACACAGTATACCCACTTTTATCAATTTTCGCTGGGCTCAGGGTATTAAAAAGTGAAAACATTGAGAATAGGAGGATTAGCTAATTGTGAATTAAACCGAAGAGAGACCAACACAAAGACCTCGGCGTAGACTTGATCTGCACTCACACACACACGCACACACACACACCTGTGGGCTGCGTACGTGTTTGTTGTTTCAATTTTTACGCGATGAATGAAAACTTTGTTCACGGGCACGTCGCAAAAGGGAACGATCGGGTAATGTCTCTTGTCTTTTACTTTTATAGCGCTACAACCTATCAAGTGTGGAGCTTCAGCTCTGTTGACTTAGGGCTTACCAGGCAAAAGTCCAAACACCAGATAACATTGTATTCTTTCCCGACCCATGCCAACAACAGAGCCCAATAACATATTTAAATTTGGGTTTGTTTTTATTAACCCAGTTGGTTTGGCATAATCCGGCGTAAGCCAATTGAAACACTTTTTTATGGGATTCGTAAATGCATGTTTATAAGATGCTGAATATCTGAATAATTGATTGTTCTCGGGTCCAATTTCTTCTATGTGGGAATATATTTGTAAATGTGTGTTTGTTGTCTATATTTTGAGGAACACGAAAGAGAGATGTCTACTTAAGAAACATCTGTCGTATCGCCTTCGCCTTTCTCGATTAATAAAAAGAGATCATTCCCCTTTATATAGCGCACATCAGCAGAATTATCGAATTTTGGAATTGATTTCTTATTTATTAAATTTCAAACTTTTTACAAATATTTGGTCGCCACTTATGTAAGTGATCTAACCCCTTTTTTTATTGTTGAATTTAGTAATAAATTTCGAATTTGAGCCAATCGATAGTAATGATCCTAACGAGCCCAAAATACTATAAAATTCCATAATGCCACCTGATAGAAGGGATCCGTACGAATTCAAAAAGGTATATCTTTTTAAAATCATAAGATATTTACCCGAGATATTCAAAAAAAAAATCATTCAAAAAGTTTTGATTTTCGAGCCGACCCCGAATTTGAGAAAAAACGTGATGTAACCCCTTG